GTGCGGGAGCACGCCGAGCGATATCGAGGAGCATATCTCCAGGCTCCTGGGCGGCTGGTCTCCCCGCCTCACTTAGATGCGCGCAACCCCGAGGTGGCAAGAGAGCTTTGGAACACGACTGAGGATCTGTTGAAAGGCATGGGCGTATCAAGACGAGACATGGGATTATAAGCTACCTTTGTCGCACTTGTTATCGATATTCAGTTGCAACTTCGGTCGGGCATGCGCGGCATCTGAAAAAGAATGGGCCCAATCGCAATCATAAGTGTGATTTGTACTCTACTACAGTATGTCACAACAATCATCAGTTACAAATGTCAAAGTCCGAAGTACACCAATGCACCGTAAGGTGTAGTTAAATAGCAAGGCAATGCGGTATGTAATAAGTAAGGATCGTGAGGAGATTGTAAGGGTATTGTGTCCGCCGTCACCATCATCACCAGGTACGCCAAATACAGAAACGGGTGAGAAAAAAGCGTTAACGCCTAGCACAAGCAAGTCCAGCTCATGCCAAAGTAAACAAACACCCGGCTAGCATCGCAACCGCCGATGCGGCCAAGAAGGCCTCCAGGCTGCCATGTTCTCTCCACGCGTCTGACTTTTGCGAGCGCGAAGGGGTGCTTGTCTGTGAGCCGCTGGACGAACTAGCCACAGATGTGGATGTAGCGGTGCTAGCGGGAAGCACGACGCCTGTAGTGTACGTGCGAACGTACGCAACTTCGAAGTACGCCTCGTCGTAGTTGCTGCCGTTCCCCACAACGTTGTCGAGATACTGTATTTGACGAATCCAGAAAATGCGTGTTTAGCCAGAGCAGGAGGCGGCAATGGCAGATATAATACGTACACAGTTGTTATTGGGACCTGCATTCGCACATCCCGTACCATCGTAAGTACCTGGAACACCGGCCCTGTATGGACGTATGCATTGCGTAAGATCTTGTGCACAAGTATGATGGCAGCCTATGATGCTCACCAGTCTCCACACAATGTTATATCAAAGATAAGCTGTTGCGCGGAGAAAAAGTTTGTAATGTTACAGTACGCATTGGTAGGGTAGCTTGCGGTCGGAGGACCCCACGACGAAATGTTCATCGATGAGTTTGCTGTCGCACTCGTGATAGAATCCGGTACGTTCGGTCGCTATAGATATTCACAAATTAAGCTTTCAAAAGAAAGGCCAAAACCTAAGATATTTAGTACTCACGCTCCAGAACCACATGCTGTGGATGTCGTCAGCATCATCCCTCGATACGAACGCCTGGACGCTTACTAAATTCCCGACACATCAAACTGCGTCGCATAGACGCCTCCACCCGCAGCCGCAAAGCCGCTCTCGTAGCTATTGGGGGAACTCATTCCGACAGTGCAACCAGACGCAGTACCACAATCGTTGTCAATATTGAACCCCGTCTGGGGAGCCGTGGTGTTATGCACGCAACCTTCGGTCGTATGCAGCGCCATCTGGTTGTTAGGCATCAGGTTGATAGCCTCGATGATGTCTGCCATCCCAGGTAATGCGTCAGAGGCGGGTCACTCGTGCATTATTGCATGTCTACTAACCGATCTCGCCGTCGTTTGGCCAGTGGGACCCCTTGCTCCAGAATGCCGGCCACACTGAGCACCCGTAGGGAAGATGCAGCGCATCTATGATCCAAAGGCTACCATACTCGTAAAATTCGCTGGAAGTTATCCGTATCTGCGTAACCAAGAGCTGCGTTAGTAGAGCACACGACTTGTGAATATGCCAAGCATACAGAATTTCGCCTGTCGCCTTCAGAAACGGTTGTAAAGTTGTCCACGCGGATGATGGCGTTCCCGGCGTCGTTGACGTACGTCAGCCTCTGCTGGGTCGCAGCTTCAGCACTCAAGTATGTGACATTCCCTGAGGGACAACATCGGCTGTGAATCACTTGTCAAACGGTTTTTGTACGCACCCAGAGTCAAATTATCCCAGAGTCCGTAGTAGTCCCATCCGTTGAAAAAGGTCGATCCCGAATAATCGTGCAGAACTTCAAAGCCAAGCCCTGTCACGGACCAAGATAACAGAGCTAAAGACAAGAAAGCCCGTCGAGTGAGCATGATACAAAAGAGACGACCGGGGGCGTTGAAGTTGGGGGTGCCCACTTGATGCACTGGGAAGGTGCGATGGCAGTTTGACGGGTCCTAGTGCAAATGGCGATGCTTTAGCTTATGCTCCGTAGCGCTACATAAATCAGTGCTCTGCCCATAGCGGAGAATCATGCCCGGAAACAGGAATGCCAAGCTGCACGGCGGCTAGAGGCAACAGCTAGTCTGCAACTAGACGTCGAATATCAGACTCCGCATCTCAAGGCCCATGAGGTCCGGTACCGACGAGGAAGACACCCACCGCATGCAAAGTCACGTGCGCACTACAATCCGAGAGTCTGGTGACTTGCGACCAGCGCCGCATCAATTGGAAGTCTATGCCCATCGCAAGCCCAAGCGCTTCGCACCCACTTCGTACAACCCGCATATGCGGAGAATCGCAGAGCGTGAACATGCGGGATAACTCGGAGCCACATCAGCGTGTTGAGGGGAAGGTCAGCGGGCGAACCTTGCTGCGTCCGGAGATCATCTACACTCCGCCTGTCACGGACGTCCGATACAGCGCCAAGGTCTGAAGGTAGTGAGGCTGAACCGTGAAAGACGCCAGGCGGTCAGGCGCGGTCGCTGAGTTAGATCTGATTTTAGCTAGGATTTCCGAGCGCAATTAGTCCTATAAGACTGACCAGTGCGCACGACCATCAATTGCATCCTTCTGGCTATGATAACGGAAACGAATAGTTTGACATACAGGTTAGCTTCTTGACATGGATGATAGCTGCATTGATCAGATAAGACATTTTGGAAGGTTCACAGCGGATCAGACTCGTACCACACAGCGACTCGCGCAATGGAAACATTGGGCACATCGGCCTCCACAATCGGTAGGCGTTCAAAAGCTCCCAGTGTGCAGCCGACTGATTATGAGCTGACACTTGAACGCGTGCAGCGATGGTAAGTACCAGAATCATCTCGACAAGTGCGTCCGTTTTCCGGAATGCGGTCTCGGCATTAGCCGTAAAACGATAAAACGAAATATCCAATTCAAATGCGAGATACTATCGACATATATTTTCCATCAAATAGATAGGCTAAATATACTTACAATAAGACTCACATTTCACCTCTAAGCCATCGTCTCGGAAGGTTGAGGCTCACGTTGCCCGTCCATATCAGGGTCTACACGGTGTCTTCATGGATCGTTACGCCAAAAAGCTTATAGTCAAGTCTCCTGATAAGCAAAGCTACGGTACGGTCAATTTGTGCATCAATCCGCACAATGTTAGCTCACCTGTCACGCGATTAGAATCTTCTATATGCGCTACCGCCTCTACGCGAGTGATCAAATAAACTTTTCATGGTCCCAAACATATTGATCGCACCTGTGACCGATACTCTTCATGGAACGTTGACAAGTAGACCCAAAGGCTCACCAAAGCGATCAGCATGTTTATTGAAATAGTAAAATAACTTTCACCGCGGTGACTGAATCGCATGTAACCAGTTGAACAAAGCATATTACACAGGCGCAATCTTTCTCGCCCCCAAACCAACTGTAGTCAAGTATTTCAGAGAATAGACGGATAACAAGAGATTGATTCTCTGAATGTTAGAATGCCGGCGCCATTACCGTGACAGCATACAGGAGTATACGTCTTGAGAGTCACCAAGGTTGTCGAAAAGCTGGGGAAGCATCGAATGAAAAATATTTCGACGATAACATCATACAAAGCCCTAGCCGTCTCTGGGAGAAGGGCGACCGCTGAGTAGAGGTCGCGGTCTTTATAAGTATAAGTATAAGGCCAAACATCACGTGATGGAAGGCGTCGTGACCTCTGGAGTGACGTCAGTGGGCATGTCGTCATGCTGGGAGGTGGAACAGGAGAGGGAATTCGTTGAAAAGGCGAGGCAGCTGAGCATGCTTCGAATTCACAGTACGCACCTTCTTATACAACCACCCCCAGCCCTCTATCTATCCTCATCCCCAGAATGTCTTCTTCCGTGCTGCGCTCGCAAGCCGTACGCGCCCTCGCGGCCTCATCGCGCGCCTCTCCTTTTGCCGCCGCTCGCGCGGTGCATCCAGTACGTATAAATCTTGAAATTATATAGTATCATTGCTGACCAAAACTGAGCCAGATTTCACGCAGATATGCCACCACACCCGACCCAACACACCCCACAGATGCGCCGAAGCCGTCTGATGTACCAACACCGCAGGGCGGAAACAACGCGTTAATGTGGCTGGCAGGGGCAACCGCTCTGGGTGTCGGTGGATGGTACTACCTGCGCGAAGATGGGCAGGATATCCATGCCAAGCGCAAGGCAGATCAGGAAGCAGCCGTGGCGAAAGCAAAGGAGTTGAACGAATTGGGGAAGCGAACTGCTCATGATGTAGTTCGTGAAGGTGAGAAAGGATACGCCGACCTCAAGGTGCGCCTACAGAGCAGGTTGTGTGTATGACATACCTGATGTCGCTAACATCACGTCTATTATCAGGCCTCCGGAAAGGACAAGCTAGACGATGTCCGCAGCCGAGCAAACGACACTCAGTCTGCTGTAGAGAGGCAGTATGATGCCGCAAAATCATCTGTGTCGAATACGTACAACGCCGCAGCACACACTGTCGGAGACGCCGAAGCACGCGCTAAGGCGACATACGACGATGCGAAGCAAAGGGCGGAACAAACGACACAAAGTTGGGGCGCATGGTTTGGAAGTTGGTTTGGTTTAGGGAGGCAGAAGGCAGAGGACGCAGAGCGAAAGACTGCACTAGAGGTCGCGTCCGGCGCCTCGAAGGTGCAAAAGGAGGCTGAGAAGCGAGCCTAAAAGCACTCGCGCGCTCTGCCTGTAGACCTGGTTCGGATCTAGGGTACTCCTAACGCGCGACCGGAAGATATAGGACTGCATCCAGAAAATAGCATTCATTCATGTATATTATGGCTAGGACGACTGCGATCTTCATTTCGGTGATACATTACCTTTGTCGAGAGCGAGAGAAAATGATCTTGATTGATACTGGAATAAGACAGATCGACCGCTCGCCATTGAGATCAACTGTTCAGAGCACTAAGCGCATGGTATCCAATGGAAACATCCGTTATACATGTTGTATAATCACTTACGGCCCGACCCTCAATGCGTTTACCGACATCATCAGCCTTGAGATTATCGGCTTTTCCAGCGTATGAGTACGTGGCCTCCCGGGATAGTGTGTGATCATCCAAGGTCTTCTGGTATCGAATGAGAAGCATATCCTCAAGCAGCGCTGGCCACATATCTTTCGGACTCCCGATCGCGGATGGGAAACGTCCCTCTCGAGGTGTGTTGACACCAGCGCTTCCACCTTCAGTGTCGGAAACACGGACTCGAGCACGGCAGCCAAATGCTTGATATTGGCGCTCGAGTAACTGCGCAAGAAAAATAAAGTTGTGGCAAGATAGGGGAAGAGAGGCCGTACAGCTGAAGAACCGACGGGCCACCGCAGCGGACCCAGACGTTGGAGGCTGGCCATCCGCAGACGAAGGTAGACGTGTGCAATTTTGAGAAGGATCTGCAGGGACTCATGTGGATGGGCTGGATTGGAAAAAAAAACCTTGTATTCCTCTAGCTCTGGCCAGTTAAGAGCAACATCGCGCAGCCCAGTGTACGTGGTGGGCACCGTTGAGGTGGGGAGACAGACAGAATAAAAGTGTTGCAGAGACCCGTAAGGTGGAAGGCTATATGCTGCAGGTGTGGTGGCGAGGTGACAAAACCGCTCATCGATAATGCGCGGAGCGGTGTCTTGGATAATGCGGGGGCGATGAATTCATGGAATCCCAATTGCCCTCTATCCGGATAACGGCCATCGGAATTAGAGAAATTGTCATAGACGAACACGTGCAATCCCTGAGTACGGGCCACTCGCATGCCCAGAAACAATTATAGGCCTCATTGCGCGCCACCCTGATGTCCAATTTGCGCAATGTGCAGAAGCACCCGCGTGTGGAATCCAAAGGGATATGGCCGATCGATTCCCTCCGACTTGACAGTGAGAGCCGTTAGACCATCCAGATCCGAGAGCGCATCGCTGACGGAAGTGGGTATGACCGACACAATGTTGAGATGTTCGAGCTCACCAACAAGCTGCGCAGCACATAGGATCCCAGACTACACTCCCACCGTCAACGCGGGTGAAATTGTCCAATACAACCTTCTGGAAGCAGGATGATCTAGCGGTAGTCGCTGGCAAGCTGTTTGATAATTCTGGATGAAGCTGTCTCCTTCGGCTTGAGACATGACATTGGGTGCCACCAGGACGGGGGCGAGAAGATTTGGGCCAGGAGCGACCCGCAGGACCTCGCCTTTGTTTCCAGTCGCCGACAATGTCCACTCCAAATGGATGATGTTCGGGCAGAGAGCTCCGCGAATGTTCAATCCTCTCCGACCATCCTTACTTCACGTACACGAAGAGCGTATTAGTGTAGATGATTCGGTTGAGGTTGTATCTCGCCATCAGTGCTATATGTTCATTCATAATCTTCCTTGTGATCTTCATCCGGCCCGAGATCTCGAGGATACTGGCGAGGGTAGATGGGGCCTTGAAAGTTAAGAGCAACACGCTCAGAGGGTACTGCCCATCAGGGAATATCAGGGGCATGATACGAGAACGCTTGGTGACGCGCACAATGCATGCGAGGTCCCGCCTGAAGACGAAACATTCCATACTCTTCGGACTCTTTCAGGTCGCCACAGTCCGGGACCAACACAGTGCTTTTCACTGCAGCATGAACATGTCGCGACCGTTTGCAAGCGCTGGCTGTATATCCGAAGCCTGGAGCTTCAGGAGCAGCGTTGAAGATAGTAATACTCACAAGAGACGAGGTCCGGACTATGATTGCTCTTTGAGTCAAAATCGAGTTGCAGATCTAACTGACGACTCGGGGCCAGCGCGGCCGACTGAGCTTTCAAATAACGGCCTTGACATCGCGCGTACGGTCCACAGCGTTTTCCATACAGTGTGGCCAACTTCCTCGTAGTGTGTTTTGCGCTTTTCGCGATTCCACACATAGTTATGAAAATAACAGTAACTTCTGGAAATGCCGTAGGTGCGGAACATTAGGAGTGATAGAACTTATCCCAGTCGGACTTAGAGGATCGTGAGCGCTAACTCAGCCACCAACGCGAGCCCGGGGTTTCCCGATGAGTGTACACTTCGTCACGGCCAGCAACGCACTCAGCTAATTTCTTAGTAGACGTCGCCATGTCCTAGTGAGTCCCCGAGCTGCTGCCGAGCGACTGCACTCTGACTCTTTCTCGCAATTGAAGCATAATCCTTGGCCGTGCCATCAAAAACGAATACCTCGCGCTCGGTACCATCTTCAGCGCGGTCGGCATCGGCATGCTCTCGACGGGCGGGAAGAAGGAGGCAGCGCCCCCGCCTGTCCCAGGCAAGTCGGCGCTGGAACAGGTGAAGGACAGCGTGAAGTTCACCGCGGGCTCGAGGTGCGTCTCCCTGCTTTCCGCTCAGGCTGCTCTGACGAGCCTTGCGCCCGCAGCGAGGAGGAGCAATTGTGCGTACCCGTTTCGTGTATTATTCTCTGGAACGGACTGTCGACGACTGACCAGGATGGGCAGCATCAAGAAGTTCATCGAGGAGGCAGAGAAGGAGGCGAAGCACTAGGGCGATGCCAGTGTGCGATGTATCATCATGTGTCTGTGCGGCGCGCATTTTGCTCTGGAATAGATTTCGCCTCTGCATTCCGTCGATCGATGCTTAATGTGTGTTGGTGCGAAATTTCAGTTGTCGTGCGGAGTATCTAGCGTGGGCATGGTACATGACTATTCGAGTACCCGGGTGAGTGGATAATATTTTGTCAGTTCAAAGACATCTTTCAGTCGCACCTCATTCTACGCGTTCTGCGTATAATTGACTTTACAATGAGATGTGAATAGAGTCGGACATGGACGCCGTGTACGCCCGTCTCTTATTGGGCAGGCTTCTTCAAAAAGCTTTGCTAGCTTCTGTAGACGACTCAACCTCACAAATACCGCTGTAGTCTTGAGTAAACCGCATTGCAATTGATCTGGGGTATCAATGAGTGCCAGACTACGTATTTCAACTATGCAATAATGTATATATACGAACACAGGGACAAGTGATAATGCGACGATAGCTCTGATGCGGGTCATAATAAAATTCACCAGTTCCACTCATCGTCGCTCTGCGCCTGCGCGTTTGCAGGCTTCGACACGCCGGGGCTCGCTGGGGCTCTGCTGTCGGGCACCATGACGTTTCCGAGGCCCTGGAGTTCGTCTTCGTCTTCTAGCAGCGACGATGCTGCCGTCGACGCCGATGCTTGAGGAGAACGGTCATAGGGAGGGGCTGACAGCGGCGAAAGCGCCGCACCAAATGGGTTGGTTGAGACCGACACCGACATTGTTGAGGACGGAGCTGGCGAAGCAAGCGCGGAGAAGAACGACTGTGAGACATCGGACAGCAACATTGAGGCGCGCTTCTGGCTCTTCGTAAAACTAGATTTAAATAAAGTTAGAAAAGCCGTAATCAACGCCAGCCCAGCGTCGAATGAATAGACGGGGGACGTACGTCTGGCCTTTCTGCAGCTCCTCCCACTTGCGACCCATGCTGCTGCCAACGGTCTCTACCCACGCAGAGAGTGGTTCGACGGCAAGCGTGCTCATTCCCGGAATTGCTGCTGGCGGAAGCCCCGAGGATAAGTTGAGACTAGCGCGTTTCGATCGGCTGCCGCTCGTCGGTATCTTCGGCGACATAACACCATTCAAAGGGGGCGAGTCAAGTTGACACGAATCCTGGAGTATAAGTGTATGGTCGCGCGACCTGCGTCGATGGAGCTTCGCAGCTTCCGATGCTCTTGACGGAGATATTTCGATGCTGCTGCGTGCAGGAACTTCCCGGTGCGCTGTTGCTTTCTCATCTAGCTCATGGAGTGGCTCGTCGAATGCAAATGACGAGATGGACGACTGCGAAAGCCGCACACTCGTTGAGTGCGTCGAAGTCGTGCCCGAAGTCGATACCGACGAAGTACTCTGCGTATTTGCGTGGCTCCTTGCGCGCTTCATTGCAGGCGCAATGGATGCTCGAGATATCGTCGCAAGCCCGGACATGGATTGCACCGGCATCGTAGGTGAGGGAGATGCGGGAGATGAAAGGTCCCCCAAGCCGGATACCAGCAGCCGGCCAACGCCTTGGACACCCTCTCGGATGTTCTCTAGAACTGCGCCGTTCGCAGACGGAGAGAGGGCCCCGGATATGGGAGACGAAGAGCTAGGTGAATTCGAATACGCACGGTCCATCCCCCGGCTCACGATACGTTCCCATTTGCGCTTGAGCTCCGCAAGCTCTGCTTCATGTATAGCAAGTTGTGATCGCAGCTCAAGGCACTTGGACTCTTTCTGTGCAATGAACTGCAAAAGATCTGCATGCCTAAATTGCAGATATCACTATTAGCAGAGTCGATTGTCATGGCCCGGGCATAACACACTTCTCGGTAAGGGTCAGCGGTGCCCGCTCTACCCGTGGAGACTGCAAGTCTGCCGATCCAACACTTCGTCTATCTCCCTTCGCCGCAGGATTGTGGGCTTTGTGCCCCAAGGACAGACTACGCGTTAACGAGGGAAGGGCCGCAGCACTTGTCTGCGAGCGGCTATCCCATGTCGGCGCGTTGTTACTGGGATAGTACGAAATCGAGGATTGACGACGCGATTTGAAGTTTCGGGACGTGGGAGGAGGGGTGGACAGTCCCGAGATGGTTGGAGAGGGACAGGAAGATGTGGACGGGGTTCCTACGGCTGCAGGTTGGACGTTGCCATCGACAAGCTGGAGAGGTCGCGGGCCGGAAGAATGCCGACGCGAAGTGTACGACATAGCTGAACTCATTGAAGACAAAATTTAAAGGACTGTGGGAGTAAAATGCATTCGCTGATAGACCGAATTCAGGAGGGAGACATGGAACCAAGTGACGGTGGGGGACGAGAGAGCGGCATCAACCTCAGCCTCGGCCCTCGGAAGCATCATGGGCGCTTGCCATCGTTGCGATTGACAAGCGACTTACCATCGAGAGCTTTCTCTCACAGCCTTGCTTATATAGCACCCCTTCAGCTCTCTCGACAAGTTATGCCAGTCGAAGTTTCAACAGCATTTGGATCGCATGACTCTCAAAGGGACTAGCTGCGCAATGCGCATGATCAGACTTAGATGGTTTTGTATCCAACTAACGCCACATTGGTGCTACATACTTACTCTGCTACGAGTGCTAGGGTCACTGCCTCCCTGGTCAATATCAGGCTGGACTTTGAGCAATGCATTGTGTCGTCGCTCTTGTCGATATATGGCAAACTCACTACTCTGTACGCTCCTTCGCTAGCATATTTTCAATATTGCCCACTGTCGGTGCAAGGGCGGTCTTTACCTCACTGACATCGCGCCTGGCCCGGAACACGCTCCCAAAGTGAGATAATCGTGAATCGTCTGGGTTTGATGAACCTGGTCGTCTACGACTAGACCACGATGCAATAGGCAAGTATGGGCAGGGGCTAAAACAGTCCGTCCGATTGGAATTGCCTGAATATGTATTCAAGCTGTATTTAGGAGTAATGGCTTTAGCACAGAGTGATTACTTGGTCTACAGATGCACATACATATATATGACACGTTAAATTTGAGACGTCGTGAGTAAACAACAACGGCCTGACACACCGGCGCACCAGAAGAGATAGTATTTTTCAGCACCTTCACCGTTTGCTGTCCCAAGTTGAAACAAGTGAAGAGGCCCGTCTGCAGGAATACAGCCTGGCCTTGTAGGCTGGCGCGGGCTGGCTCCAAGGATCCATCATCGAGAAGAGCCGAGAGCTGGAGAGTCTCACTTTGAGGGATGCGAATTGTGACGAGGCTTTTGGCTCACCCCAACGAATCGTCAGTCACATGACCGCGTTACCCATCGCTGCGCACAACGGTGGTGCACCTCGGGAGCATGTTCAAGTGGGCATATTTTACCACATGGATGAAACGGTGGGCACAGCATAACCTGTGTTGCACGCCTACAAGCCTGCTGGAGGAGCGGAGCGGTCGCATAATGCTGGAGAATGAGACCGAGGACCCTGGACACTCCACTCGGGTTCGTCCGACTTGCTTAATGCGGGTCACCTACTTCCATACCTGGAATCAACGGCGGGTCTGAATGAGCAGATCGTCGCCGCCCAGGGCCCCATTTTATCGTCAAATTCTTCTAGGATAACACGAGGGTGCGATTAATTCGTATGGAAGAGTTGGTTATGCACACAAATTGCTCCGACCATGGAACGATGAAGTGAAAATTTTCGCCTCAGTCGCCCCAGGGGCGTCCGGGGTCCTGCTTGACGGCAGCAACAGCTGTCCCCAACGAGTCTCCGTCGGGGCGAGGATATAAAACGTTCCCCCAGCTAATATGATGACCCGTCCTTTCTTCCTTTCCCTTGTTCACGATGTCTTCCGTCGTTCCGACGCGGACAACGGACCCGTCGAAGGTCCACCCGTCTCCCCCACTTACGCCCCCGTCTACCCTCAAGAACATTAAAATGACCAAGGAAGAGGAGCCTGCCGACATGAACATTCCTGACAACTATGTCGCCTGGACCCTCAAGAATCAGAAGCCGCTTCCTCCGGTCAGCTGGAATAACTGGTGGAAGGAGTTGAACTACCTGAGCTTGTCTATTCTCACCATTACACCTTCCATCGCGCTCTGGGGCGCGTTTCACGTCAAGTTACGATGGGAGACGGCCATTTGGAGTGTCTTTTACTACTTCGTGACTGGTCTCGGTGAATAATTGAGTGCATATACCGACCTTTTCACATGTACTGACCATTGATTTGCAGGCATTACCGCCGGCTATCATCGGCTCTGGGCCCACAGGTCTTACAATGCGTCTAAAACCTTGAAGTACATGCTCGCAACTGCTGGTGCTGGTGCGGTGGAAGGGTCGATCAAATGGTGGTCGCGAGGACACCGTGCCCATCATCGTTACACCGACACTGAACTTGACCCATACAATGCCCACATGGGTTTCTGGTGGTCACATATCGGGTGGATGATCGTCAAACCCCGCCGAAAGCCCGGTGTTGCGGATGTAAGCGACCTCAGTAGAGACGAGGTTGTGCGTTGGCAGCATCGCTGGTACTTGCATCTGATTATTGGCATGGGCTTCTTGCTTCCTATGGCTGTGGCGGGCCTTGGCTGGGGAGATTGGGCAGGCGGTTTCTTCTTCGCTGGCGCGGCTCGTTTGTGTTTTGTGCACCATGTAAGTCAAGCCGCAGCCTCTGAGGTTATTAGCGCTGATGGCTTTGTGCTACAGTCGACTTTCTGCGTCAATTCGCTCGCGCATTGGTTAGGAGAGACGCCTTTTGATGACAAGCATACGCCGCGCGACCATGTCATCACTGCTCTTGTGACGGTTGGTGAGGGCTACCACAATTTCCACCACCAGTTCCCGATGGATTATCGCAATGCCATCAAATGGTATCAGTACGACCCGACGAAATGGTTCATCTGGACAATGTCTCAGTTTGGTTTGGCGAGTCACTTGAAGGTGTTCCCTGACAACGAAGTCCGCAAGGGCCAGCTTGCAATGCAGCTCAAGCGTTTGCGCGAGACTCAGGAAGGTCTGTCTTTTGCACCAGAGGGCAATGAACTCCCGGTCATTAGCTGGGAGAGCTGTGAGTTGTGCTATTTCGAGTATTGTTAAGAGTACTGATAGTCGTCTCAAAGTCCGAGAGCAATCTGCGAAACGTTCCCTCGTTGTGATCGGAGGTTTCATCCATGACGTGTCCGCTTTCATGGACGAGCATCCCGGAGGACGTCATCTTGTGGCGAAGATGGTTGGTAAGGACGCCACAACAGCATTCTTTGGAGGCGTATACGACCACTCCAATGCTGCTCACAACGTATGTTCTGCTCTCTAGATATATGGCCAATCGCTGACCGGTCCGTTTCCAGTGGTTGTCCATGATGAGGGTCGGCGCTCTTCATGGCGGCACACAGCACGGTCTGGATGACAAATCTGTTCCTCCGTCCCAGCGTTTGCGGATCGCTCGCTATAACGAAATTGGTTCAGGGAATGCCTCGTCGACTGCTTGGTCTGATTCCGAGGGTCTTCTGGGTTGATTAGACTGTCGCTATTACTGTTCGCGTTTCATTATAGCTCGTCTTTCGTGGATGTAGTGTATCATAGACTGGAGATTAGGCAAGCATTGGGGTGGGAGATTGGCGTTGTTGTGGCGACTTTGCATGCATCCGTTCAAGTGTCATAGATGAGTCTCGCTACGCAGTATTACCATTACGATCGGAATGAACTTCATTAGTTGCACGTTAACGTTCTCTGGCCGGCTCTGGGTAATTGGAGGAAGTGGTCGCTGGTCGGAGGTCGCGGGTCGCGAATCACGATAGGGCAAGGCCTGACATGTTCGTCATGTGACCGTGTTCGCGTGCCCCTAAAAGTTAGGTCGCGTAAATGCTGAGACCGAACGAGAGAGACAGAGCCTACGTATCTTGTTTTCATTAGTGATCAAGGTATACCACGTCTTTTGAAGTCAACCCTATGTCAGGCCTAGGTTTATTTTTTGTTTCACAGGACTTGCTGGCACATGCAATATAGATGCAGGCTACATGGCGATGTCTGATGAGGACAAGCCCGCGGTTCTTTTCTCACATTCCGGCGTCCGGGACCTCCACTGTGCACCGAGGAATCGCGTTTGAACATCGCTCACTTGCCCTGCTCGAGAAGCATCTCTCCATGTCTCTGCAGCATGTCGGTGGCAGAGATGACGGGGGCATCGACCTCCTCGGCTGGTGGTGGCTACCCGTTCCGTGCGAGACCAGATACGAGGCAACGGAGGGCAGAGGGGCACCTAGGGTGAATGCTGGAGGGGAGTATCGGCAACGCTTTCGCGTCATCGCGCAGTGCAAGGACGAGAAGAGAAAGGTGGGCCCAAAGTATGTGCGCGAGCTCGAGGGAACGCTCTACCGGTATATATCTGGTGCCCATACACCACCTGTCTCGGACGCGTCTGAGGGTGAGGCACGCCAGGCTCCGAGGACACTCGCAGGCGATCCTGTCGTGGGGCTGCTCATATCCTCTGCCCCGTTCACGAAGGGCGGGTTGATGCGTGCGCACTCTTCCCGCATGCCGCTCATGATCTTGCACATCCCGCCCGTGGTGCTGGAGGACGCCGTTGCATCCCCTCTCGGCGTGCCCGGAATGCTCGCAGAACATGAAGATGCTGCGGACGCGCCCGAGTCCACGTCATCTGGAGACCTGGGCGCGCTCGCCTTCAATCCTGCGCTTGGGGGGCCGTCTGGACTTCTCCGGGGTTTGGTCCAGCCACGCTGGGAGCATCCGTCTGTCGTCTCCGTTGATCGCCCGAGCGGCCGCCCTGGACTATGGTGCAATGGAAAGCGCATTAGCAGTTGGACTCCGGAGCATGGACTAGCATAACGGCTGTTTGGCGGAGGCTCCAAGTATCGCGCGCCGTGCGCACGTCCATGGAACATTCCAGATCGACGTTCGTTTGCCCTCCCATCTCGCAAGGTGTGCTTTCTCACTGGAGCAATTACGGTGGAGACATTCTTGCACTGTACAACATGGATGAACAGTACGTGAGGATCAAATCTCTTTGGTGTCTTGGGCTAACGGGCTTGAAAATACTGCTTTCAAAGACAGGTCCCAGATGCCCAATCATAAGCTAGAGCATCAGGCTGGATTCATTGGGTCTGTTGACTTGGTATAGGGAGCTAGTCGCGGACTCGGGGTATATATTACGTCGGTTTGCGATCCATTTGCGGATATGAATACATCAGCCTGATGTATTTCAGTTGAGTAACGCGGCCATGGACAAACCCTGTCTGCCCTGGACTATGCAAACTGAGCTTGCCTAAGACTGGACACTGGGATACCATCGACTTCACGATTGAGTACCACCTACTCGACTGATTGACGTTAGGCTGGAATTAAAATTTTCGACTGTTACTCTGGGCATCTACAATCAACTCAGGGACAGCATAGTGACGCCTGTCGAGTCATACTTAAACGCCCACTAGTTGTCTGCTCACCCACATTGCGGGAGTGATTTTGTATGCATTTTGAGTTTTTGGACGTCGACTTCTTGGGTTCTCCTGAGATTACAGTGACCTTCTGTGTGATCCGCCTGTCATGGCCAAAGACTTGGTCCAAATTTCTGATAGCGAGGCGCCTCGCCCTCTGGCGGTCGGACGATGAGCCGGAGCCAAAGTGCAAATTATCTGACGTCCAGCCCCACGCGGTCCTATAATTCTTAATCTCGCCCGGAGCTCCTTCTACCCGTATCCATGTCTGGTACTTATCGCTCTCCTCTCGACCATGACCAGTTCGAAGGATAAGCTCGACGCGTCCTACGATGCGGAGAAGGACGTTGGATCCTTGCTCGATGTCGGACGTAGGGAAGGGGATGGCCTGCCATTCTATAGGCAGTGGATGCAGAAGCTGCTCAACTGGGGCGTGGAGGAACGAGGTGCGCCAATGACCACGTTGTCTAGATAAACCCGCATATATTGACTCATGGCACAGGCATTCTTCCCGTCTCTCCCGAGGATCGCACAGACAAGCAGTATAGCAAGATATGTTTTATCTGGCTGTCTGCCAACTTCAACATCCTTTCGTGCGCATACATCCAAATATTCGCTTTTATTGAAGCTCATTCAACTGCAGATTTTCGGCGGGCACGCTGGGTCCCATTGTGTACGGACTTAGTCTCCGAGACACATGTCTGGTCATCCTATTCTTCAACCTATTATGCAGCGCTCTACCTGCCTACCTGTATGCATTTCACGACCTTTGTATCTCTTTCAATCCAGTGACAAGTCGATCTGCAGTACGACATGGGGGCCAAAGCTTGGATTGCGTCAGATGTGCCAGGCTCGGTACAGCTTCGGGTGCGTTCATGTATATCACCCGTCTGCTTCTCGCAGTCTGAGGTCTCCGAAGCTATTTCGGTGTAATTATAGCGAGCGTGATCAATCTTGCAACGATGTGCGGGTATTGTATCCTCAATTGTATTCTCGGAGGACAAACGCTTGCTAGTATATCAAACGGCAACCTCAGCTGGACGTAGGCCGCTGATATATTTCATGTTGCGGATCAGACTCATTAACCTTTGATGGTCAGTATTGGGATTGTCATCATCGCTGTCATCTCTCTCCTGGTATGTCTCCCCACGCAACCGAAATTCCAGATTGTTCATCATCATGGAACAGGTTTCTTTCTGCGGATATAAAGTTCTCACTTGGTATATGCGTTGTCTTCTCAAACTCTGCGTTCCCTGATCTTCTTCAAGGTATGAACGTATTGCTTGGATACCTGTTGTCATCGTCTACGTCGTGGCGCTCGGGATCGGTGGCAAACACTTGGACAACCCGCCTGCTGCAGAACCTGCGACTGCCTCAGCTATTCTGACTTTTGCGTCGACGATTGCTGGTTTCGTCATCACATATGCCCCAATCAGCTCAGATTATACCATATACTTTACCCCCGACGTGCCCAGGTAAATGCACTCGCTTTCTACGTTATCAGCTTCTTTCGCTGACTATGTGCATTTAGCTGGAAAATATTTACATACTCGTATTTGGGACTTAATCTCCCCATTGTAAGTCCCGTACTATCCGTTTCATGCATCTACTCTCAATTTCGTCCTTAGATCACCATTCAATGCCTCGGCGCGGCAGCCGTCGTTGCAGCGCCTGCCGTCCCATCCTGGAACGCTGGATATAACAACGGCAACGTCGGTGGCCTGCTCGAAGCGATGCTCAGCCCCTCCGGCAATTTTGGCAAGTTCCTCACTGTGCTGCTTGCACTCAGTGTGACAGGCAACATTGCGCCCACCCTCTACTCGTTTTGCCTGTCCTTCCAGGTGTTCATTCCTCCCGCAGCTGCCGTACCCAGGTACATGTTTTCGCTCCTCGCTACTGCAATGTGAGTTTGCTGCGCTTCTTTGTACTCGACCGGGTTGGTTTATATGGAAACTGTTCAGTATCATACCACTGTCCATCGTGGGCCAGCACAAATTCTACGCCACCCTCAGTAATTTCTTGGGGCTTATCGGCTATTGGGCCAGTGCATTTGGGGCCGTCGTCCTCTTGGAGCACCTGGTAGTCCGCCGGGGCGATTTCTCCGCCTACGACCTGCGCTACTGGAATAGTTCCGGAAAGCTGCCCACGGGACTCGCGGCCATTGGCGCGTGTTTGCTCGCGGTCGGGCTGATCGTCCCGGCTATGGACCAAGTGTGGTTCGTCGGTCCGTTTGCGAAAACCACGGGAGACATCGGGTTTGAGCTGGCGTTCGCGACGACTGCGCTATTCTATCTACCCTTGAGATATCTAGAACTTAAATTTAGGCCGTTGGTATAAAACACAAGCATTTTGGAGCAAAAATAAAATTGGATAGACAGCTTCTACATCTATTATGCAGGATGATGTAGTGGGACAAATAATTTCAATGATTATAAGAACATCATCTAATTGTGCAATCCCGCCAAATATCTAGCTGTTGAGATTACAGGCAGGTGAACGGGCCCTGTAGAATTTCAACATAACCAGTTCAGTACTAGTCGAGCAGTCATCTCACGAGACACTCACAGAAGTGGGGGCTATCGTTTCCAACGTGGAAATATCAGTACAGAAACGGGGCACACAAGATAGGTTAACGCACTGGGGGCACCACTGATACACACAGGACCATGGCCGAGAGTCAGAGCTAGGCAAGGAAATATATGTCAGCACATAAGGCGAGTAAGGACAGAACGGCACATACTTCGGGCTTCGAGAACGGCCGCAGCGAGAGCGAGCTGGCTAGCCGCGACGACGGCAATAGCAAGAGCGAGGGTGCGAAGAGAGTACATCTTGTCGATTAATAAAAAATGCGCGAGGCTGCTTAGATGACTGCTGGGTGGATGGCCGACTGTGAGTTGGTGCAGTTCGCTGACTGTCTCCGCCCGTTTTTATAGGATTGCAGCCCTCCGTTCACAAATGGGGAAAATATTGGTAGTATTTTCCAGCGCTGAGCATCCTCTGCAATGTACCTGAATCTTGACGTGCGCGGGTTGGGAAAAGCGTTGCAAACGTCACCAAAGTACATTGGTTCCTGAGTTGCCGAGTCTCCGTTGGCCCGGGCTCGCGAGTGAAACAGGATGGTGTCATGATCAAGTGGCCGGCAGGACTCCACTGGCGCTGCGCCCCCGCCAGCCCAGGGCGCGGAGCGCACGAAGAATGATGGCGCGCCCACAATCAAATCTGTCAAGCCCGACGGGTGCGTTACCGAATGTGCGAGACGTCGCATGATTGGAGGAGCGCACTCGTACCTGGCCAACGTGCTGACGGTACCGCGAGGGCACACGAACTTGTGGCGCGATACAAAATGTTCTAACTTCACCATCATTCCAGTTCGGCCGTAGGTACGTATACGCACGGTGCAGGTATAACCGAACATACTCTCAGTAGTCCATGATAGTGACACTCAGCTTCGTAACAGCCTCTGAATCGTCTACAAAAGTTTAGGCCATGTCTTGACCAAGTTTCAACAACGGCAACCGTAAGTCGCGGGACGATGGTGTCATCGCGAGCGCGCTAGCCAGTTAGTCAGATGCTCGACTGGCCCGGAACAGACATGATGTGTGATACTTTTAACCTGACAGTATTCAGATCGGACTCACTGGGAACTGAATCCGGAGTAACATGGCACCTAGCTTTGTCTGCACACATTCGAATGACTCGACCGACGACAAGTCACCTCTAGAGCATAGATACATAAGTGTCGAATGTTGAATGAACTTGAACTTGAATCGAGTGCACGAACCAAGCTCGTACTTCCCCGCCGTACGTCATCCTGATGACTCGGGGATGGATCAGGTACGACGCACCAGCCTGAGGAACTCCGTATTGCTTTTTGAAATGCCGCGGATATCGGACAGACGTGTGCATCAGCAGATGGATACCAGGGCGTGCTGCGGTCGAAACGTAAAATTGCGCACCGCATACCAGTTGGAAATTCCGTCAGCTTGGGCGACGCGCCGTGCTAACAAATCTGAGCGGGGAGGTGCGAATAAATAGATATTGGGTAATTAATTGTAGCGAAAAAAATAGGTAGATGTAGCGCATCAGTTTTGGAGGCGGCAACACTTCACCCAGAACTTATCACCTAGTCAGTGCCAGTCACCATCGACGAAAGCGTTTTGGACCAACGTCCTGTGATCATTGTATGCGGCCGGCAGACCAGACAAGAGCCTCTGAGAAGACTAGCAAAATGGCCGCAGATAATTCCAATAAAAGTATATCAAGGCATCACGAGAACACAACACTTGGGCAAGAAAGTCGAAAGCATACAGACTGCCGCCATTAGCCACAGAATGTCTTGCTGCATCTAGGTAAAATACAAGGCGACCTGTGAAAAGCAGGAAGGCATAGCGGAGCAAGGTGTGTTCAGTCTTTCATAGCAGTGCGGGTCCGTGACCTCTTTCAAGATCTTAACTCCATCTTCCCCGCCTTCGGATGGATCCAAGTTGTCGTTACCAGCTTCCGAGTCAAACATCATTAGCATGATACTCGTCGTCGCAAGTCCATTCCATGCGGCTCCACTCTATAGAAACGGGCACGTAGGACCTTCACAAGGCTTCTGGTTCTCCACTGCCTTCACATTTGACATTAGAAAAAGTGACTCTCCAGTCTTCCTCTCACCTCTCGTCCCGCAATCCTGGCTGCCGCATCGCCTAGCACGAATTTTGGAACCCATTTTGAATGCGTTCAAGACGCCCTTGCATTAGCGCCGATGAAATGAGAAGCCCTTTTTGTGATAGGTGACCTCTTACACGCAAAACAGGGGAATAACGTTGAGGATGGCATAAAGATACAAGTGAAAGTGTGGACTCTGACGGTCGCAGTCAAGCAACCTAGCGTTCATTGAAATAAATTGAGACCGCAGGGATTGGAGCGATCGAGGACGCGCTGGCATTGCTCGTAGATCTGGGCTTGTATGAGGAGGTACTGTGCGGGGGCCTTGGCCAATTCAGGGAACATTCCCGCCAGGTGGGAGAGAAGGCGGATGGACATCTCTGGCTCGTGTGAGGGAGCACATCCAGATGACTGCGAGCAGGACCTGTCGATGCAAGCAGCAGATCCACTTGCATCGACAGGTGCTGCTCGCAGTCGCCACTCGTCAATGGGTCCGTTGAGTGGAGGGCATGCGCGAGGTCAGATGCTAGCACGTCCGTCAGTCTTGTGCGCGCATGCGGGATGTAAATACGTACCATTGGGGGAGAGGCCGCCTGATAGAAAGATGATGGGTAGTGTTCAGCAGAGGGACAGGACAGCATTCACTAGGGCCGGGGTCTGGTGCCATCAGTGGGGACGCGCAGGGGACGAGACTCCTGCCGCGGTCAACGCGATGCATATGGACAGGGGTCCGGGAGCATCCAGTGGTAGATGTGTGTGGCATAACTGCGTGTGCGACAGTCGATGCGGAGGTCATCGTCGCGGGCGTTGAACGTTGATCAGCGCTCACCGTGATGGAATGCGGTGTGTGCCAGGCAGTGTGCTTTTTATTTTATTTTTATTTTTATTAATTCCAGGGTTTATACTCCATACCATAGGCAGAGTGTAAATATAAGGTTACAGCGGGGCAGTAATCACCCTGAAACATCCTCCTCGCTCATGGGTGAACAAGGGGGTGATTCAGTGCAGAATAATCCTGTGTCTGTTGGGCCATCATGCTCAATAACAAGATGATCTGCGAACTGCATGTCTGCAATGAACACAGGTGGAGGATAGGCCAGGGCATTATATTGCCATGCTTCAATCAATCGGGTTGCTGTAATATCAGCATTATATGTTGAAATATAATAGTGGCAATAAACCTTACCTGTGTTGACTAGACACAAGGCAAGTAAAGAAACTAGAGTTGTCTTATAGTCTGTGAAGACTCTAAGATGAGGATCGAGAGAGAGAGAAAAGCCCTGTCATTAAGCATTCTACCTAGGGGTTTATA